CCTATGTCTGACACAGCAGTGCATTCAGACCATTATTCTGCTTGCGAAAGCTGCCGGACAGGACACATTATTTAAAAAAAAAAAAAGGAAATGAGACAAAAAAAAAATCCATCTGCTGCGCTCTGTGGGCCCCTCTGGGCCCTGTGTGCTTCTCCGTCATGGCCGCCGGCTGTGTCTCCGTTTACCTTCAGTTTCTGCTGTCTGGGCTGCTTAGTATGGTGTCTGTCTGGGTTCAGGCCCCTCCGAGGCAGACTGAGGAAAGAAAGGTGGATTTAAAGAGGAAAAAAAGAAAGGAAAAAAAAAACAAAAATGGCCTTTGCTCATATTTACTGTGGCTTTCTTATACACAAACACACCCCCATCGCACTTCATTCGAGTCACTGACACGGGTTCGAGCGTGTTCAGTGTAATTTTCCTCAGCTCCCAGCCACCCCTCCCTCCCCCTCCTTTGCCCCCTCCAACAAATCTGCCCCCCTCCCCACGGGGCCAGGTAGGCCTATACTTGACATAACGACCCCACCAACCTTAGTTCCAATTTTGAGTCCTTAAAGTGTACAAGTTGTGCGAATTTTTTTTTTTTCTTTTATCTTTTTTTTTCCCCCTTTGTTTGTAGCCAGCTTGTATCTGAATGAATTTGGGGAAGAAGGACATTACTCACACTATGGATCTGTTATAGAGTGTATATTGTGTTAACACTGAAGCCAGTTCGGCTGCTTTTTAACATATTGTTAAGTAATATAAAAGCTCTGTGTCTTTCTTTTTTGAAAGATGGAATACAGTAGTATGGCAGGACCCGTGTGCAGTGCCTCTTTCTTCAGCTTTTCTTCATAAGGGTGGGGGGTCCTGCTTTGCTTTCTGTCAGGTTCCCCCACATCCTGGACCTTTTTCAGGTCTTGCCTTGTGCCCCGTTGGAGATTCGCGTTTCTTCTAAAGTTATTCCACTAAGAGCCGAAAGCCGCTTCATGAGCAGAGGTAAGGACTGAATGTGCCTGATGGAAGTGAAAAGAATGGAGGTGTCATCTGGGAGACGTTGAGCCCTTAATGAGAGGCCAGCTTGCAGGTTTGGGGGGAGCCAGGCACGCCGAGCTGGTGACCGTGTGGGGTGGGGGCTAAGGAATGATATACACCCCAGATTCTTGGCACCGCGCTGAAAACGGAATCCTAATTGATGGCGTCACATCCAAAGCGAATGTAGGTGAATAGCAGACGGAGGGCCTGCCCCAGGCCCGCTGATGTGACTGACCTAGTGAAGTCGACTCTTAAAGGTCACCCGATAGCAGGAAGCTGAAGAAGAGTATTTAGTTTTTCTTTTTCTTTTTCAGTGTCAGCCTGTGAAGGCGAGTTGGCTTATTGATATCTCCTGTTGCGTGTTGACTCTGCATAGGAACATCGATCATTCTGAAATCTCAGTGCCTTGCTTTCTCGCGCGTTGAATCAGAGTGAGGCGTGAGTCACTTCTATGGGCCTTCTGAAGCTGAGGGTTCCGGTAAAGACATGTAAATATAGTAAGGAGAGGTCACACACACATAGAGTTCACGGGAAATTAGTGAGTGCGGCATCTCCATGGCAACGTGGCCGCTACCCCGGCTTATCTGTGCACTCACGAAAGATAGAGGTGAGATCTCTGGTAGATCAGCGGCCGAAATGCAAACAGGAAGATTTTGTGGGGATTTGAGCGCGATCAAGAGATCCTAACAGGTGTCTTTTTGAGGGGGGGAGGGGTACATCTCCCCTGTACCATTTTAAGCATCTCTTGGTACTTAAGACTTGTTTTCAATATTGAGTTGTGCTGCCAGAGAGCCGAACTGTGCTGAAAAGTTTAAACGAAAAGCACAGGAAGAGAAGTTCTAAAGATAGTCGACCGCAAGGGACCTTCGACGTGCGTAGACGGCACCCCGGTTCGGGGGGGAGTCTGCTTTGTGTCGTCTGCGGACTTCCTCGCCATTCTCTCACATCCTGTGAGGCGGCTTTGGCCGCCCGCGCATCATATGAAATACTGAAAGATTGATTTAACAAAAGGATGCAGGGGGGGGGAATTCAAATTCATCATTAGGTATTCAAACAAAAAAAAACTCCTTTGTAATTTCCCTTAAGTATTTTTGTGTTTTTTTTGCTGGATTGTTACCAGAGCTTCTCAGTACATAAGTCAGGACAGCGACACGGCCTTTGTGATCCGATTATGGCCTGTTGTGTTGGGCTCGCTGGTCAGCACCATTTATTCAGTGTTATGAAATCCACTTACGCCTTTCATCGCAGTCTAACGACACCCCCACCCCTTAAAAAGAGAAGCAAACACCACAATCTTAGTGTTCTTTACGGTAAGCACTTTGTTTGTGTACATCGCTGGGTTTCAGTCCTTCCTGGTTTCATGCTAAACGGAACTGAAAGACGTATCCCAGCAGCTCGCTGGAGCAGCCAGCGGTCGGCTTTCAAAGTCGCACACGCAGCTTATCTGTACCGCCGAGATGCGGCCTTCGGTGAAACGGCACGGTTGAGGCAGCCGGTGCAAGGGGCACTGGTGTCGCCATGGCGACCCGGCGGATTCGGCAGTTTGCGGAGAAGTTCATCTGGGGAATCCCCTATGTCTGCCCTGGCAGTGCCGCTGTTTCGCACCTGTGAAACGCTGTTCCTTTCTCAGACTACTTCTCTAACGAGGCCAGACATTAATAACAATAATGATGATAATGTGACGGCTACAAGCGCCATTAATGACAGCCCGCGGCCCGCGAGTGTGAGCCGAATCGCCTTTGAAGCTCGCGGGGAGCGAGGCAGACCGTCTTGGGAATTCCCAGGTTTTATGGGAATTTCCCAGTATTTCTGGATACTCAAATGATTAAAAGTCGTATATGCCCATCGAGTGTTTACTGGCCGCCAGTAACTCTTCCCAGACCCCGGGGCAAGTGCAGGATTTTTGAGGCGGGAATGCACCAACAAGTCACCATTTGTAATGGAAACGTAAAAGCCCCCCCCCCCTCCGCTACCCAGAGGGGCTCTGTGGCCTTTAGTGACAAAGCTTGTGATTTCGCCTGCCCGGGGGTGGGGGAGTTGCTGAAAATAGGGGACTGGTTAAAAGTCGCCTGTAAACGTAAAAAAAAAAAATTCAGAAAATATTTTCTGGTTAAGTAATGCGACCTAATTGTTTCCAGATGAGGTTGAGTGTCGATGGCGGGGAACTGGTGACGGGTCTGATCTGTGTTAGAGCGAGCACATGACTGGGGATCTCCCCGGGCGGATGGGGGTGAGGGGGGGGGGGGGGGGCATCCCAGCCTTTGACTTTTAAATTTTGAGATCGTTTTCAAAGTTTCATGTAAACGTCGTCTTCTATGCTTGCAGACAGCTGATAGCTAGAGACAGGAAGACGAGGTGCGAGTCGCGTTGCTGGTGGAGGGGAATCGGGGGCAGGGCAGGTAGCCGATCCCTGGGAGGCTTGGACTCTCTCCGGACTTGCGTATTAACTCCTGAGTGCCCGCTGGTACCAGGTCCCCAGCTACCACCTCCTGCTCCCTGTGCCGCTCATGAGCTGCCAGTGGACCTGCTCACCCGTGAGTTTGCACACGGGACAACAACATCATGGGAAAATATCCCGTATCACGCCTGTTAACGTCCAACCGGCATCCGAGACACGTCACCCTAGTGCCCAGATCGGCTGTGACTCCGACAGACCATACCCCCCCCCCCCTCCCGTTTGAGCTTTGCCAGCAGCTGGAAAGGTGATCTGGTGCAGTCAGTGTACAGTCATCACGAACACAGTCCGGTGCTTTCCGCCGGTTACCCGATAGCTCCTCTTGTTGCGCCCTGGCTAGACCACTGCCTTTCATACCCAAATAACAACATTTATCTGCTTCAGTGGTTATAAGTCCCAGCCACTCTCCTGACAACCTTCATCACTACGTCTCTCCATGGACTTTTTCCGGGTGTTAAATCTAAGAATTATTCACCCAGTGGCCTTTTAATTCAATGACGACATTGTGAATGACCAAAGGCACCGTTACCCGAGAGACCAAATGAAGTCAATGTCTCTAGGGGTTAACCATCTCAATTGAGATATTAGTATTTATTTTTTTAAATGTCTTTTTAGAACAAGACAAATTAAAAGCAACATAAAAATTCACAAACAATATACATAAATGAAAACAGCACCAGTAGAACAGTTAAAAAAAATCACCTAAAAATGAAACACATACAAAAGACCTCATTCTTTCTCTAACAGTAATTATTCTATAGTATGCTGTACACACACCATATTCATGAATCGAAAAAGTGCAACGTTTCAACAGACAGTGTCTGATTTAACATAACTCAGTAGAGAAGCTGAATAAATTTAGCTGAGGTATACTTGTAAATCTATTTGCTAGATTTGGGAATTTCCCCATTGACCTATTTCGTGATGTAAAAAAATAACTTGACATTTTAAGTTCAAAATGCTTCATTATATAATAATTTAATAGTTTGTTACAAATAACAAGTGCTTTGTAAGTGCAATCCTGAAAACACATCTAAAAAAATTCAAAATACTCCTGACAGATGTCCTCACACGATGTCAAATTGGCTGTATAAATTACATAAATTACAGTTCTTTTCATAGTTTCAATGATATTAATATATATACTAAAATATATAAAATACTGAGTTAATATTAAGCTGTTTACAGGCCTTGTGGCCTTGTAGTGCTTTATCAGTGCTCAGAATGTGAGTTTGTAATAAATAATCTTTGTTCAGTTTGTGCAGCGAGCTCCTTGCAGTCAAAAGTGGACGCACTCGTCACAGTGTCTCCAGTATTCAACCGTGTGCTCGTCATCGTACTGGGTGTAACAGTGGGGGCACTGTAGCTGGGTGGGACTCGGCCGCTCGGCCCGTGTGGCCCCCTGTGTCGACCCGCTGCCCTGCCGACTCGTCCCCTGCCGCTCGGCGCTGCTCCTCATCAAGGGCTCGCTGTCAGCGGTGCTGGTGTGTGTCCGTCCCGAGTCCCATGGCATTCTACAGGAGGACGACCGGTCTAGGGAATCCTGGGTAATGGGACAGAACGGGCGCTGTTAGTATTACAGGAATCTGAATGCTAATGTCTTCTAATCTCATCACATGGACATTCCAGGTCTATTACACAAATATTCTAATTTCTTTAAACAACTAAAAATCCAGTTTAAAAGAATAATAAAAATGTAAAAGCCATTTCTGAAATTCCTGGCTACATCCCGCTAAGCTTGTCTTGTAGCATTAGCAGGCGGCCGGAATTTGAGCGAAGGAGGAAGTTATGGGTAGATGTGTGTATCCTTGTAATTAAGAAGTCAAACATCAAAAGGCTGGAGAAACTGAAAGTATCTGTAAACGCCTGAGCAGGTTATGGTCCGGGGCAGAGGTGAGTCCTTTACCTGCTGACGGAGCTGCTGCTCGAGTTGCCTGACCTTCTCCTCCAGGTCCTGAATCCGACTCTGTGCCCGCTCGCGGTCGGCCCGCTCGGACTTGAAGTCGTCCACGTAGGTGAGCACCTGAGGGGGTGAGACGTTCAGAGTGGGGTCAGCAAGCTGGACCTAGGGGGAGCGTGATGGCAGGTGTGCAGCTGCGAGGCGTCTGCGGCCCCCCACCTGCTGCTCCAGCATGTCGATGCGCTCCCTGTCAGCTCGCTTGGACTCCTCCAGCTCCCTGCTCAGTCTGTCACACTCCTCGATCTTCTGCTGCAACAGCTGGTTGAGTCTCCCGATCTCCTGCTGGAGCAGCCCCACGTTGAGCTCCTTCAGCTTCTGACACAGGCCCTTGACGTACTCCTCCCGGCTTGAGTCGTATTTCTGCCACTTGGCGTTCAGGCTCTCTACCTTTGTGGAGGAAGGGCGACATCGTCACCTCGTCAGCGTTTCCCATAATAAGATCAGTATTCAAAAAAAGGGAAGCAATTGCAGAGGGCTGGTGAAGGGACTTAAGCGGAGGAAATCTCAATGCCAAAATGAAAATGGGAATTAAAAAACATTCGCTCTTACATAGGCCACGCGCTGTTTTAACACTTCATTCTCCTTTTGAAGTTTCAACTCTAGTGCAGTGAACTGCTGTGCAGCCGCGGAATCTGTAAACTAATTGAAGGAAAAAAATATATATATCCCAGTTAATTATAGATTGTGTTCAACGTTAGAGGCCGATACGGTGCAGACTAGGGCTCTACCCGGCCGAAGGGTCGCACCTTTATGCCTTGTGGCGCATGCGTCTTGCTGTCGACCGAGCCAAGAGGCTCGTTCTTGCCCTCGATACGCCGGAGCAGGTCCTGACACACCCGCACCGTGGTCCCGAGCTGAGACCGGAGCTGATCTGCTTCCTCGGCCAGCGAGTTGCACAGCACGGTCCTGGTAGCCTGCGCCTTGTCCTGCTCCCTAAGCGCCCGCCGCAAACGCTGGATCTCCAGGTCCTTCTCATGCTCGGGCTGCCGCGTCAGCCGGTACGTCTCCTGCTCCAGGGCAGTTACCTGCTGCCGCAATCTCTCCATCTCCTACGACGGGGATTTGGTGACAGGACGAGGAAACGAAGCGGGACGCAGTTAGACTTGGCTGGCAGAGGGCGAGCGAAACAGCCCCCGCCCAGCCGCCTACGGGGCATTTACATGTGACATGCGTACATTTGGGTTATTTCCATCACAGCCTCTTCGTAGATATGTGGGTCGTGTGGAATCACAAAACCTTACCTTAAGATGAGCCCTGTACATAATATGGTTAATTATTATTTACACATAAATACGTTAAATGCGAAATATAGGCTATATTGTTTAATGGTAGTTTTACTTAGATCGAGCTCTCTGGAGTAAAAAAAAAACAACAAAAAACTAGAGTTAACTGGCGTGGGATAAAAACATGAAACTATCTTCTGAGCTAAAAACTGTTCTCAGGAAAGTGTGACATTCATCCGGCGCTATTGCATTACATGACTTAAGTCAGCATAAGGTTATGGTTCTCGTCTTTTCATCACGCGCACTTACGTAATATTATTATTATTATTATTATTAATGTAAATGAATGTAAGGCGTCGCCAAGCCCGAAATACTGCCCTGCTTTGGAAGAAAGCCCCTCTTCATCATTTCCAAGCTGGGTACAGCTTTCATTAAACTGCGATGAGCAAACGCGTTTGTACTGCCGTAAAAATTTAAATACACCCCCGTCTCCATTTTCTGAAATAAGAATGCATTTTTATGTTTGAGAAAGGTCGCCTTTTAAAATGTGGCCAACTCGCAGCCTATCCAAATGCGCAATGCTTTGACAGCTGGAGGTTCTTTCTCCATCACTAACCAAAACCTCATCACAACCAGTTAGATCATCCATATGGTCCGAGATCCATAGCACTACTTAGTTACATTGTCTGTCTATGAAACGGAAACAAATATCCATTCAAGAACAAGCAGACAAGCAAACACAGCCCATACTTAGTTATAACCAGCGTAAAATTATGGAATCACTATTTATTAAATACAATAATAAATCGACCCGCAGTACATTTCTTTCTATAAAATGTTATGAATTCCAAGTAGAGTGGTGGTAAAATACACATTTTACTCACCAGTTTGCTCGTCTCCGACTGCTGGGCCGCCTGTCTCTCAGTATCTTTAAGTTCTTGTTTCAGCATTGAAATCTCTTCAAATAGGGTGTCTATCAAAGATTTAGAGGGCCCAAAGACGACGGGCTCCTCTCCGTCCTGCCGCACGCTGGCGCCCTCGTATCTGGCCAGTCTGGCTCTGAGATCGGTTATCAGACCGTCCTTTTGGCGCATCTGGTGCGTCAGTACGCCGACCTCCCGGCACGATTCGTGGAACAGCGTGTTGATGGTGTTGAAGCTTTGAGCTTTGGTTCTCGGCACCTCATTCTCCACCTGGAAGTTTTCCATCGCCGGGTCCGCCAGGTGGCACGCAGGATCCACGCCGACGCTGCTCCGATCTGACATGGTGATAGGACACTAATCACTCCATTAGTATCACAGCAGCAAATGAAGCATCAACTTTGTACTCGTCGGGGTAGAAATGTCCCAGGCACTAATAGTCCCGCTTAGAAAGTTAACATTGAAAAAAACTCGGGGAGTGTCCTATGGCGCAAATAATATTCCAAAAGTGTGGGGATTTCCTACGGGACTTCCCCAAAAAGGCGGACTTTTCTTGTACTTTACTTTTTTTAGTAAGTTTGGGATACCTGGTCACCCCTTTCTGCAATTGAAGTTAAACTCATGTGGTGAACAGTAATTTATTCTTGTTAACCGATTAAAGGAAAAAATAAATACTTAAAAAAACGTGATTTCTTACGAGCAGTACTTAAAGGTTACTCGCACATGCGCGAGAAGTTTCCGGTGACGACTGAGTTTCACTTGTGTGAGAACGAAACCGTATTAGGTACAGTAACCAGATAAATACGAATATATGATGCATAATCATATACACACACGCAAATGTATATTTATGTAATGACGCTGGAACTGTAAGAAACGGTTCTTCTAGCAATACCCATAATATGCCAGTAAAACAGATTCTTAAATAGCAAAATCAGAATTCAGTCATCTTGTTGATAGTCATTCGCGGGAGAGACAATTGTAAAAGGTGTCATTCGGCATACATATAAGTGTTCATTATTCGTGTAATCACTGGAAACCGGTATTATAGGATATGCACCATTACATATCTCATTTCATACCCGTGAACCGCAGCCGTCTTTTAAAGAACTTAAGCAAAATCGAAAGCCATGGCCAATGGGGAAAAAATATTCCTAGCTGTGTTTAAGTCATCCTATCTTAAAGGGTTTTATAATGGTATGGTTATAAAATGATAAATAGGTAGGCTTTTAAAAACCCTGTCTGGCCCGTACGGGGATCGAACCCGCGACCTTGGCGTTATTAGCACCACGCTCTAACCAACTGAGCTAACCGGCCAATTCGGTTTCGCATTTCTTCAGTAGAGCATATAAAGATACATATAATTCACACGCTAGTAGGGAGATCTGTTTTAGTTGATGTATTTTCTCATGCGGGCGAATTCGTCTGACAGACAAATCAGTGTATACGAATTAGTGTGTGTAATGTGATAAAAAGGCACAAAAGACTCGGAAAGCAAGAACTTTGATTCTGTTATGCTTTAATTCTACTTATATCCGTCAGCAAACTCGCATGCTCCTGGTTAATTAACTCCTATGAAGGCGAGGGCTACATAATCCCGGAACAAGATACTACAGCAGGCGTGGTCAGTCTTATCCGGAAAGGGTCAGTGTGTATGCAGGTTTCTGGGATAACCTGTAGGTCAGCTGTTCAAACCCAGGTGTGAGGACCCATCAGCCAATCAGTCCTCTAATTAGTAATCTAATTAGGGAGTTGCAGCTAAAACTCGCATACATAACAACCCCTTCTGGATAAGACTGGTCACCCCTGCACTACAGTGTGTGTGATTTATCCTTAGCTACTGAAAGACAAGCAGACTAATCAGAATGACATGGGCTGGAATTCTGGGGAGGTTCATCTGTTGTCCGTTGACACACGAAGACACGAACAACGCACAAGCTGTATGCCCTTATTTTTTAAAAAACTCATTACACACGCACGTGCATTGTTAAAACTTATCTAACTTCTGTAACTAGTTTTGGAGAATAATCTTCTTTCTTCCGACCTCACTTCTTGACCTCCGGCGCGGAATCGCCCCTCGGAACATCCACTGCTGTTTTTTGAGCTCCGTCCTCGCTTTTCGCTTCTTCCTCATCAGCCACCACGTAGTGATGTCCGGACACCGGAGCATCATGGATTTATATGGGGCTGCAGAGCACTGCATATGCCAGATATCAAGCTAAGTCAATGAAGCTGGATGGTTTAGAAAAAAAAATATTCACGCACCTGCGACTTAAATCTAGGATGGTACCCTGGTGGAAATATGTAAATATTTTTGTATATGTAATATCCATCGTGCACCTCGCGTCCGCTGTAGAACATCTGCAGATTATAGTAAAACAAACAGGTGGTTATAGGGACATGGATTATTTTAATTCGTATGTAAAACACTCCCAATTACTGATCAGAAACGCCCTGTTTTATGACATATTTATTTTTTTTAATTTTAAGGGGTCTTTAAAACTATGCATTTTCTCCTCATAGAAGAAAGAGATTACCCCCGTCTCATCGAAACATTTCGATCCCTGGGGACGGAATGGATGACGGAAGACCTGTTATATATTATGAAAAAAAAGGCAGTAAGTCAGACATCAGTATTAATTACTATAGTAATACAACTGGCAGATTTAGAGCAAGTAGATAAAACACCTCATTTATTTTGAGATATTGTAATGATGAGTGAATATGAAACCAGCTCCATCCCAAATATCAATACAGAGATAGCATTTAAAATGTATATATAAAATTAATATATTAATAAATGTAACTTTGTAACATTTACCGTCAGTGCTGAGGCGGCGCTTATTATGAAGACGCAGAAAAATGCGGGTGACATCATGACGTACGTCTGCGACCAGAATGTTGCATTAAAGGACGTGTTACGAAAAATTTTTCTAAGTTGGTGAATTTCACGAGCAACGCTCTTTCCTTTTTAATACCCCTTCCAGAGAAAGTGAGCGACGTGACTGGATCAGCCTTGGTTCCAGCTTGCTTAACTCGTTGGTCTTTTTTATAGGATAGGTCTACATGTAACACTGCAATACTGACATAATTAACGCAATTAAACTGAGTGTCACACATATTTAAATGTTTGGGTGGCACCAAATATGGCCGATCATCATAATGACTTTGCTGCATTAATTATAAATCTGGAATGTTTCTCGTTGGCGGCCTGCAATTATGCCCTACCGCTTTTAAAATGTTTATCATTTATAATCATTTATTGTGTTTAAAAATGAAACACTTGTCAGTATAGCTAGGGCCTGATCTACCTTTTCAGGGGCCCCAGGCAAAGTTTATTTGGGGGGGCCCACCAAGAAAACTGATGCTCATTTCACTTCCTCCATAACGTAGGTAATTTGGGGGTCGTGGGCAACTGCCAGTTCTGTCTGTAAGCTAGAGTCAGTCCTGAGTACAGCATTTTACAACAGGGCTATTTGGGCTGAGCCCTGCTGATTTTCCAGCCTTCCTTTGCCTGTGAGCCAGGTGTGAAGCCTCTGTGCCCAGTCAAGATTAGTAATTATTAAACTAACTGCCGGGGAGAACTGAAAACACGGCTTGAATTTGTAAGCCAGGGCCGGATTTGAAGAGCCTTGTTGTACAAAGATGGTAATGTTCAGGGATTGACATGACTGGTACGCAAGTACGCATTCACCTTTAAAAACGATACGTGCGACAATCGATTGTTGTAACAGCGTGAATGCGTAAGTATATGTGCATTTGCGCCGATATGACAAATCACCGTGCATTTTAACCTCTATACCGCAAATAAATGACAAATTAACATATAAAGGTTAAAATGCGCGGTAATTAACCGATACTTTATTGATCCCGGCCCATGGGGAAATTTTTCTTTCCCCCTCCCCGAATCTTGCACACTGTAGGCGAGAACAAGTGGGCTGCCAAGGGTAGTATCCGAGAAACCGGGGGATTAAGGGCCTTACTCAAGGACCTGCAGAGGTGTCAAAGCCAGGCTCAAACCCACAACCTTCCGATTACAAGTATAGAGGCTTAGTCCACTGCACCACACACTGCCTAACCCTTCCTGTGGCTTTTGTAGATGAGGGTCAGTGTTCTGTGTAAGTTATCTGCAAATTTATTGGTTTCATAAGCAATGTTTACCATATCTGCTCATACCTTCTGAACAGACGTTTTCTTTTTATTAAATGTCATAATTCTTTTGACTAAGAATCTAATTCTTTTCTTGCCATTTTGCTATTAATTACAGTTCTTGTTATTTGGCTCCCGCATGGATCCTAAACATAAATATTTGATGTTTTGTGTAATTTTTACTATTTAAAAAAAAAAAAAAAAAAACACCCAGTGAGACTTCTTGCCAATTAACTTTTTATCTCAGAACAGCTTGTTTAGAACTATAATTTGTGTTTCAATTTATTACCACTTGAAATTAATGTTTTACTTAATACTACTGTTTGTTTCTAATGTGATATATATTTTTTGTAAACAAATGAATAAAGTAACGATTTTTGGTATAAAGCCACACATTTTCAGTAATTTTGCTGAATTAAAGAAGCATGCTGAGTCCTCAGGTGCTGACTTTTTTTGATGGAAGAAGACAACTTGGTTTAAGATTAAAGATTTTGGAGTCAGAAGGGAGCATTACAGCTAAAAAACGTGTTTATATTTGCAACTCTGCAGCATGTTCATTTATAATAATTTATGAGTAGGTGGTGACATCCACCACTGGTAATTAAAAAAAAATCTTAAGAATGCAGTAATTACGTTAAAATAGCCCCAAAGTACTTAGGGATGCCTACACATCGTTATTGCACAATCATAATTAAAAGTTACGTTGAAATCAGACTGGCAGGAAAAACACTGGCTCTGTAGACAGCAGTTTTAAAATGCTGTTTGTTTATTTTTTAAAATCAGTTCCGCATCCATTACAGGTGTGTTTTTCAGATCAATCCCAAAGCTGCTGAACAAAAGAAACAAAAAGCAGGCTGCCGATAAAGTAGAGATACAGCGATGATGAGAGTGTGCAGTTTTAATCACAGGAGAAGCTGAAAGATGTAATTTAATCTGTCAAGTTAATCTATTGACATATTGGTCGTCACAGGACATCATTGCTATGATACACCAGTATGTTCATGGACCTTCAGCTTTTAACCATGTGGGGTTTGACAACAAAGTGATTTTCATCGCTAAGCAAACTGACGTGAAATAACTTCTTGATAAAAGGCATTCTGTCTGCTACATCCGTCTTCCTGCCCACACCATGTGTTTGCCATATTGAATCCCAATAATTCTGCCATGAAGTCACAGCTCGGGTCATTGGCCTGGGTACCTGCAGCGTGTTCTTGACCATCTCCTCTCAGATTCATCTGGAGATCTCTAACTTCATGTTCCTGTGTCATACCTGACACTGATCTTCTACAGCAGGACCACTTTCTGCGCCTACTCCCCAGTATCTTCAGAATCACCCTCCTCTTCCTCACTGCTCTCCTCACTCTTTTCACCTTCATTTACTCCCTCGGTGTTTCCTTCTTGACCGTCTTCATTTTCATCTTCCCCTATCTCCCCATCATCTTGGTCTTCACGGTTCACTTCATCATCGTCATCTTCACTGTCTTCCTCAGTGTCTCCACCATGAACAGGGGTGATTCCTCCTCTGTCTTCCACAACAGTCTCTCCATCATCATTGGCTTCAACACCAACACTGTGCTCAGCCCCGTCACCTTCAAAGTGAACTTCAAGATTCCCCTTCGCTTCCTCACTTTCCTCGTCTCCATTTTCATCCCTAGTGTCTCCACTGTCTCCATCTCCTTCACTTTCCTGTCTCTCTTCCACATCACTGTCTCCACCATCCGTGTCACTCTTCCCACCTTGCTTGTCCTGTTGTGTCACTTGGCAGTCTCCAGTCGTGTTCGTATCCTCCACCTTCTCCCGAACCTTGGTAGTATCTTCTACACCATCACTATCTTCCTCTGTTTTATTTCTCTTTGCATCGGCACCATTTTCTTGACGTTTTTCACCCATTTCATTATCATCTCCATCTTCATCAGTTCTTTCTGTGTCATTTTCTTCATCTGCTTCATCATTGCTGTCCACCTCCATGCCATTTCTCTTCTCCTCAGTCTCTTCTTCCCCTACATGGATGTTATTCCTGCCTTCATCTGCCTCTCTGCCTTTTATTTTTTCATTCCCCTCACTCTCAGTTTCATTACTCTTATCCTCATCACTGATTCCACCTTCACTGGCATCTCCATCACTGTCACTGGCATCACCATCAACGTCACTGGCATCCCCATCACAGTCACTGGCATCCCCATCACTGTCATTGGCTTCGCCACTGTCCTTTCTGTCGTTCTCTGTCTGTCCACTATCTTCACTTTCCACTTTGCCGCCAGGTTCTACGTCTTCTTCATCAGAATCTCCTCGGCCCTAAAACACATATACATGCACTTTATACCAACTTAATTAATTAAGAATGGCATAAACATCATTGCAATCCGTAATTCATATTCTAAGTGCTAAATTCGCTCATTAGTGTAGTTCAAGATAGACATTGATCGTGACACGTACGCTAAATGCGCAACCGCGACCTGAGGACCTTTACTGCCATCTAGTGAAAAACAATTGTTATTGCGACTTCAATGTTGTATGGCAAAGACAAAAATAGGAAAACTTCCGATCGTGTGAGTAAAATACCATTTTAAACAGAAGAATTCAACATTACATTAAGTACAGAGAGCCAGTTACCAGTCGCGTTCTCTTCGTTTGGATTGACTGTCCTTACTGTCTTTATTATTTGCACTTATAGTATTTGTGAATGACATTGGCACAGTATTAGAGTTGTGAATGAATACAATGGTTCATTCATCCCATATGATTTACAATATGTATTGTTAACATGTAGCTCTACTTTTAAAACTCACTTACTGGTATGGCAAAGGTCGCGCCCAAGATGACGATGAACACAAAAGCAGTCTTCATTTTACAGCACTCTGCAAATAGATCCGTTTTGAAAACGAATGTAGAAATATACTACTCGAATTAAATTTTGTTAATAAATCTTCCGTAATGTTATAGCTGTTACGTCATAAAAAGAAGCATGTAATCATCTCGTTCTGATACTTTTGGCAGCACAGTGATACTTTTCTGTTCACGGGGATGAAGTGTCACCCAGATGTCAGATGACAGGTCCGGTCAGGCTTGAATCCATCTTCACATATTGACCTACGTTACACTCAGCTCACTTTCACCTCTCTCTTATTTAAACCGTTTTTGTGACGTTTTGAAAAACCTAAAATCTTCCAACAGACCCTGCCGAACCGCAGATATTTAGTATCAAAAGCTAAGCGTCGCCCCGACTGGCCTTCTAACACAGAACAGTCCGCTTTATATTGTGGGTGCAGCGAGGATATTTGCCGATGCGGTTTGTGTGATCGTGCTAATTATCAAGATCTTCTAGGTGAATGAGAAGCAAATGAGAACGCAGGAAAACAACCGTCTTTACGAGTTAATCACCACTCAGAATATGTTATGTAGGAACCGAATGTTTGTTTTGCAGACATGACTGCTGTGGATCAAGTCACATATTTGCCATACATCATTTGTATTCTCTCGGGAAGTCTTGTGGAAAAAGGTAAACTTTGTACGGACTTTCAAGAATGTTTACTAAAGTTCCATTAATATTTTAGATATTTTTGCTTTCACGCTGCAACATTCATAATACAAGCATTCCGTTTGAGGGTAATCATATTAAAGATATTCTGGAAAGCTACCATTTGCTTATTTATTCGGGGAGATTTCATGTTTTATTACAGGTGCCTGTTGTCTGGGACACCCCCTGGGGTCCTCCAGGGATTTATGGAGTCGTTCCTATGGCTACTAGATGTTTGTTATGTCTCCCAGCTGTCTGCTGTACTCTGCTAAATAGAAATGGTTTACCCATGACACTTCTTGTCGGTGTCCTATCTGAGAAAAGCTACCATCAGCATGGCGGACAGTTTTATATAAACACAACACACCCTGCATTCTTTGGTTAAAAAACAGCGGCAGTGTTTACGTCAATAACACCTTTAACCTCCGCGCGGTTTCGGCGTACGTCTAACCCATTCCTTTGATACAACGTTTTTATTGCTGCAGAGTCTGTGATTGTGCCTTTTTGTGGGATCTTGGTCAGGTGAGGTGATCTTTCCATTTCTCTCACAGGCACTTTTGTCTTTTGCCAAAACCGACAGCAGGATAATAGTTGTGTTTTGAAGCAAAATGTTACTTTTGGTTTGTGTGTTGATTGAAATATAGAGAGAATGCAAAAGTCATAACAGACTGAGGCTAGACATCACTCCCCCCCCCCCTCCCCTATACCGTCTGCATCCACACCTGCCAGACGGCGGTGTGGAAGTGAGGGAATCTCCCTGCGACTATTTACACAGCCATAAGTAAGGGCCGCTATGCAAGATGTGACTCGTTCTCTCTCCTGGGGAAGAGACCATCCACATACTCGCGCCCACCTCAAATGGCCCCTTTCTGTAACTATAATGACAAGCCCCCTCTTTGCATAATTGCGCACAGGTCGCCCAAGATTTATGATTTGGCCCGTTGAAGTGTGTGACTAGCTGGAAGGTGTTAAATATCCCGCCGTCATGCGGACTGTTCTGAAGGCGAGGTCGCTCGCCTGCATCATGTTTGTTTCACCTGTCTCGTTCTCAAAATAACACACATCAGCAGAGATGCTGTAAACAGCACTGTGTGATCTGAGATGTTTGTGTCCCCGCTGGGGAACCGCAGAGAAGCTGAATCAGCACTGGGCCGATCACATGTGTATTTTCCCCTGGATGATAGAGCTACCACTTTCATCCCCAGAGTTACAGCATGACGGAATGACCGCCTCTTCAGGGTGAACTGGAAGAACGGCTTCCTTTGGTGTGATACTCATACTGGGAACAGTTAACGATTAACTGGTGCTTCCTGGTTTACAGTGAGAAAGTACCGCACTGAACCAGATCTTCGACCTTTGTGAAAATGCCAAATCAAGAATTATACAAGGAATACTTACCATTAGCTCAGTCGAAGCATTATGTGTGTGTGCAAATGAACTTAACGTTAACATGGACTTTAACCTTTATTATACCCATTTGTTGGATTATACAACATGTAAAAACGGTTGATAAGATTAAACACGCGACTTAGACAAAGCAGTCTTTAATTCCATAAACATTTAAAAAAATATGTCATGAAAACACTGCAAACAAATATTTAAGCACCACAAGTGTGTGTATGACAGGGCAAGAGCATGCAAACATGCAAAATTCCCCACACATTAGCACCGTAACACAGTTGCACATTCAGTGAGAAATGAGAACGTTTCACACCTGAAATTGGCAAGAAAAATGTGCAGAAGATAGCTCCTCCTGTTCCAAGGAATTGCATTAATGGGAAATTAGTAGATGATAAACTTCAAAAGCATGTTAATGAACGTCTGCATGCATTTCCCCGTGATTGCACGATGCCCGGGTAGTCTCCAGATGGCAGGGATGGACAGACACCCAATCCGCTACATTTGGCACCAGCCCCTTCCGGTTACACGGGCTGCAAGCTTCACGGAGGTACAGAGCACAGCTCAGTCATGCTCAGCAACCACCTCTGAAGCACTCTAGATGCCACCCCGCAGGCGTAGCCAGCGACTGGTGTGGCAGTTGGAATTAAGGTGCTTTGTTTATCTGACTACATGAATTATCGTATACATAAAGATTTTACCGGGAAAAATGCTTACTAGTGAGTGTGTCAGTTTCGCTTCCTGGGACAAACCCAGGTCAGAAGGCCAACTTTCCGTAACCGTAATGTTTATTGTTTATCATTCCGACGTAGCACTAGTTACGCCGGGCACCGTTTATAATTAAAGTATTTTTCAGTTCTCTTGTATCCCTATACCTAGTCCTATATCTACATGATCGATGTTCGGTGTACGTTTCTCTTACTTTTCAGATACATTAAACTTAATACGTAAACCTTGATAAAAGATAGCATGTTTAATTCAACATGAAATAGGCCTATAGACTACACTGGGAAACCTCAAAGACCATCTTTACAGGTTGCACCTTACTGCTTACATGTCTATTGTGAAAGAAGATTTAAAAGGCATTTCAGTTAAAAAAGTAAAAATACTAGTTAGTTTCGACAACGTTAAACTTAATACTATATATTCAACACAGCAGCCATTTTGATTAAAAGACCTGACTTTTGATCAAATATGACAAATACTTTGCGATTGATGACCCTGACGCCTGTCACATGCCCACACCCTGAATCTGCTTCCCTGAATGAGCGCATATGGACGTACAGCAGCACAGTCTCCGCACGCATGCGCCTATCTCTTGTAGTAGTGCTCGTAAGTCAGCAAATCGTGGGCGCGTCTCTGGTCGTCGTCGCCTATGTCCTCGGAGGAATCGCTTTCGCAGCTTCTGCTGTCGTCGTCATTTTCGCCGCCGAACTGCTGACAGGGCTGCGCATCGCTGGCGTAGCCCTCGGCTTTGCTGTCGCTGCCCTCTGCGCTCTCCACGCTGTCAGCCTCCGTGGGTTTGACGATGGAGTCTAGGTCCTCGTCGGTGTCCTCCGAGCTGGGAGACTGATTCTGGGTGTCCATGGGATTGGCGCCATCCTCCGTGCCTCCTGCATTGACTCTGAAGATCCGGTAGAATCGCTGGAGTTTCGAAATAGAAACGTCGCGTAAATGCGCTTTTCAGGAGAGTGAAAGTCTGGCTGCCTACAGGTGGGCAGCTAACAAAGCACCGACTCCAGACTCACATTTCGAGACGACTCTCGACTACCGCGGCTGTCGTCTCGGGTGTTCCCATCCTCGTTGGAATCACTCTGCTGAAACACAGCGATTGAGAAAAGGTTAAAAGATCTTGTGGTACAACCTACAACTGATATATGACCAGTCACCAGCATGCAGAGATGTGGTGATGAATAGGTCATTTTAAAATAAATGGTCTCACAAAATACATCACATTATACTAAGCATACCAGGGGGGTGTTCCACGAAGCAGGATTTCTTAGTTGGGTTAACTTAAGTCATGATCGTGCAATAAGAGTTTAGGTAAGGAGCATTCCTATTGGACAGTCATGGTTATCCAATAGGAGTCTAGGTAAGGAGCATTCCTATTGGACGATCATGACTTCTTGGTTAAGTTAACCCAGTTGACTGGCAAATCCAGCTTAGTAGAGCACCAGGCTGGTATGTACTTTATATTCTCTGTGGAAATTAAATAACCCAACATTTAAGAGGACTTCGATGTGTTTTTATTTCCATTTAGGAGGCTTATTCTGGTATGCTACCTTATCTCGAAGGTAACCGTTCAACTCTTCCGATGTCTGTGTGAACACAGGAAGCAGAGATGAGGTCACTGCACAGGGCAAGCCTGATGCGACACAGGTATTTCACACACAGCTCTACGTGTAACATAACAGCTCACCTTGTCCTCGGAGGTGCTTTGGACCGAATCTGAGGCCTGTGAAACAATAAAGTGTAACCAGTGAAAATGACCATCTGAATAACAGAGTAATTTAACGATGCATTTAAGGCACAGTCACAGTCAAACTTGTGCTGAAAGTAAGTCCCCATAAACCCAAATCAGCCTTTCGTCAAAGACAGCCAACCTCAACTTCTAACACCTTATTTAATGCTCAAGTGCCTAACCTGAGACTATTGGATGTAATGAGGTTCCAGCTTCCATTCTTATGATAATTGGTACCCCCCCCCCCCCCCCCCCCCCCATCTACAGGATTGGATAAAATGGAAGCCAGATGTAAATCCTCTGATACATCAACCTCCACAGAAGCTCTAAGACATTCTGCCTCATTAGTTTTTGTATCGCTGCTGCTCAAGGTCTGCTGCCTGACTCAAACTCCATCGATCAGGAGGCCAAATTTCACAGCAAGGAATCCCAGTCCTGCATACTAATATGGCCCCGTAAACAGGGCCAATCAAAGCCCATGTTGCTCCCTAGGCAAGCTTCACCACTGGCGCCCCCTGTCTGTGAAAAAGCGAAACTGACTGGCCAAGCCGCCACTTACCGTTTTCTCTGAAGTGTTGTCTTGGGAGCTCTGCAAAAACGAAGAATAACATGTGAATTTTTTACAGATATTTTGAGTCATCAACATATATGTCCTGATTTAGAATTCAGCTGCAGTATGAACTTGGTTAGAGCAGGCAGGATGTGGTTTGACTCGTACCGTAGAATCAGAAGCTTTGCTTTGCTCATTAGACTGCTGTTTGGACGAGCTCTGCGAGTGGGTCTGATAAAACATTTTATACGTTTTATAAGTCACAACATGCACAGATATGGGAAAACATTTACTGCTTACAATTACAAAGCAATATTAAAACAACACAATAATATTTCCTTTGATCTCAGGTTGAAAGCTCTATTACTGACTAAACTCTCCTTGCCATAACACAAATTTTAAGAATATGTGAGCAATCATACTTCAGAACTAGCAGGTCCACACCATTACTGTACTTCCTGTCATAGCAGAGGAGAGTCTGTAGCTGTGAGTTAGTCATGATCAAGAATGATCAGGTGTATACTGTCCTGCACCGAGGCACACAAATGACAGGTGCCCCGTCTTCCAGATACTGCACAATAACTTTCCTTCAGCGTGTATTATCGGCATTTCCCATTGCAGTCATTTGTTTCCTTTTTTTTTAGCATGGTCTCTCAACACCATAGGAGATTCGGGTTTCGTTAGACACCTCATGTAGACTCTCCCGCGAAGTTTCAGCCCCAATCCTCTCTCCAGCCGCGTCCGGGACGTTTCTCCGGGAAACCTACAGTATAACACCCCAGTAAGACGTTTGCTCAGTCGTGTGCCAAAGCAAGGCTTCTCTGCGCTTCCCTCCAGTTTACATCCGATTATTTACACACTTACTGGGTTAGAGAGGACTGTTCCCAGCAAGCACACAATGATCACAGCGATCTTCATCCTGTGAAAGAAAAATTAAATGAAATCCTACCTAAATCATGCTGGGACTTTTTACAATTATATCTGTGCCGCTAAAACATAAATTAGGCTACATTTTACATCTGTGTAAGGAGACGCATAAGAGAAACACTTTTAACTTACAAAATGAAAATTAAATACCCCCCCCCCCCCCCCCCCACACACACACACACACTGTCCTTACATAAGCAGATGACTATTACATTTCTTCTGTTGTTTACCCTACATACACGACCCTATAACTGTCCTGGTGATGTAAACGTGATGAAACTGTTAGGCGAGATGTCTGCCTGCATCCTTTCTCAGACCACCCGTTTCTGACAGGTCTGAACCCCCCTACCTTTTCTCAGCTACAGCCAAGGCAGAAGGTGCGTATAAATGTAAGCCAGGTTTAGCGCAGTCTCCTTTGATAAAGCGTTTGGATCGCGACCCAGCGGACAGAGCTATTTATCGGCACCGCGGAGGTGTGTGTCTTCCGCACCGCCCCGGCACCCCAAGGACGCATTCAGCTCTCCCCCACTCCTCTGGCTGGTTTAGCAAAGGCGTCTAATTTGCCGGTGCATATGACGGGGTTTGTGAAGGCGCTCCCGCTGCCCACGCCAGGAAGGCAGCGCTTAATGACAGCTTGCCATCTTCCTGTGGGGAGGATTTATTTTCTCTAGAATTAAAAAAGATTGATCTATTCTGGCCCCGTAGCGGAAATGAGCGCGCTGAGGTCGGGCGGCCGTTGGAGCGGGCGAGTCTAGCCGGGTCCCCTGCTCGCTCCTCTTACATGTGTCTGAAGGACACGAAAGGAATACGGGGCCACAGAAGTCACATGAATCAGAGACAGACAGACAGGGTTTTTCCACATCATCAGTGCATGTGTTTTGATAAAAACAGCGGGACAAAGGCATAACTGAAAGTGACCACGTTCGTTTTCTTTCCTCCGATTGATTTTGCTTATCCTTTATTTTAACGGGAAGGTTCCATTGAAATATAATATTTATTTTTCCAGGAAGTCCTGTTCAAGATGGCAGCAAATAAGAAAAAAGACAAAAGTTTCATATACATACATACAGAGATGATTACTATAAACACAGACTACTCAAACAATACATAGAATAAAATGAATTTATACGAAACGATAGTGAATGAAATACACCATTTTCCCGTAGGATCGAGCTCTGTCAGACTCGTCTTGAATAATTTCCTATTGGTATAATCTGATATAATAAGAAAGATGAATGATTTGTAGCTGTCACTTGTGTCACAGGACGATGGTGACACCCTCAGATCCACGTGTTGCGGATTCGCGCCCCACGGTTCTCTGACACTCAGCCCGCCTCCCACCTTCCGCACCTGAAGATTATTTCTGTCTCTGGACCTCAGCCTAATAGTGTCTCCCGGAGTCATCCAGTCGTATTCAATCCGAAGGTTTTCCTCCCCTGATTCCCTTAAACAAAACGTACTCCGGGTGACTTGGGCCATAAATAGATCAGGAAGTATTCCAGACTTCCTGGAAATGACATCATGTTTATGCATCAAACATGGCACTAGCAATTAAAATGCAGCAGTAATTGCAAGGGAAACAATGCACGCGGTTTGCAGACGGTACAGTAATTATCCATTTATGCAAACAACAAGGGTCAAACTTGTGGCTGCAAAAACAATGGAAGAGACATAGAAGTGTATTATTCACTGTTTTTATTCACTTATTTTGACATTTTCAAAACAGGTGCAGACATTTAAGTGAATTTATGGTAAAGAGCAGACTTACATTTTTGGATGCAGTTTCTACTATAATAGATAGTCGTAACTGCACAGAGTTACATACACCCAACCTGTTGTGACTCTTTACAGGTGAATACAAGTGTTCACACACACACACACGCACAGAAACACACACACAGACACACACACGCACAGAAACACACACACACAGACACACACACACACGCACAGGCACGCACAGACACACACACGCACAGACACACACACATACGCACGCACAGACAGACACACACACACACAGAAACACACAGACACACACACGCACAGACACACACATGCACAGACACACATACACACACACATTCACAGAAACACACAGACAGACACACACGCACAGAAACACACACAGGCACGCACAAACACACTCACACAGGCACGCGCAGACACACACATGCACAGACACACACACAGACACACACATGTTGGTGTACCTATCTAAATGGGGACCTTCCCTTCATTTCTATGGGAAAATCCATAATCCCCATCACCACGCCCTTAACCCCTACCCAGCCCAAACCTCAACCATAAATAACCAAACAAAATACAAGACTTATGGCATTTTTACATTTGTGATTGCATTGACAGATTTATCTATTTATTTATTTGTTTATTAAATTATATTTAGGATGGGCACTTAAAAATGTTTCCAAAAGTAAGGAAGGTCCAGGTTTTACCATACGTTGGGGACATTTTGGTCCCCAAATGTGATCTATGCACCCCCCCCCCAACCCCCCCCACACACACACACACAAGTTTGTAAGTATACATTTGTGGGGACTCTCCATTCATATCTATGGGGGAAACCTCTAATCCCAACAGGATGACCTTAACCCCTACCCAACCCTAACCTTAACCATAAGTTAGCAACCAAAATACAAGACTTTTGGCATTTTTAGTTACACATACAGTCCTTCTCTCCTAACCCACACTGACAGTTGTTTCTTGCTGGATCAGTCCATCATTTGGTACCTTCAGCCCACATAGATGTATTTAGGTGGATGGAGTAGCCTTCCCCAAAACTTCGGTAGGCCTATTTATACACGCATATATAACCCAAGGGTTCAACATGTCATTCTCTGTTTGGGTTTAACTTCCCACATACAGACATGAAATGGGATTTCATGAAGCCTCCACACAGACCAGATTTCCAAACTATTTGGGTGAAAATTACAGATTGTAGTCGGTTCAGGGTCACGGATCTGAAAAGAGTCGGACTAACCTGAGAAGAACTGAATATTCATGGGGCAGGACTCGGTAACAGCCCTCGCATCCGGGGATTCGGGACTCGCGCTTAAGCGTTCTATTTGGTGTCTTTCTTCGTTTTCTCCACCAGATGGAGCTACACTCTGTGCTAAGGCAAATAACTGGTTATAATGAAGAATGGCCAACGAAACTTTCTTCGGCCACACATCCTAGCCAAAGCCTTTGATTCAGCACCACGTCTCTCACTTTTCTTACCCCCAAAAAAGAGACAAAATATTGAGTAAAAGCCTAATAAATTCATTGCATTATTACTCAACTGAAATGTCTATTTCCGTATTTATTGACATATGACTTTTAGGGTTATATAAATCAAACCAAGCAGTATTTGATGTATCAAGTGTAAAAACAAATGATGTCAGGACTGAATTCTGTTTAATATACTTTTAAAAGGTAATTGACATTATTTCATCCATCCTGCATGATGCTTAGCCAGTTTAGTGTTAAGGAACTTGGATCGGGAAGCGTAGGAGGCGGGACACCCTATAGGACGCAGGACACCCCATAGGAGGCGGGACACCCCATAGGACGCGGGACACCCCATAGGAGGTGGGACACCCCATAGGAGGCGGGACACCGCATAGGACGCGGGACACCCCATAGGAGGCGGGACACCCCATAGGAGGCGGGACACCCTATAGGAGGCAGGACACCCTATAGGACACACCTTTAGGGCACCTTATGGGGCACGGTAAGCCCTGGAAGGGATTAACAGTCCATCACAGGGCACGCACACACACACACACACGCACAGTGTGATACTTCCAGATGCAAATTCACACTGCATGTTTTGAACTGGGGGAGGAAGCCCCCGCTACACGAGGAAAACCCACACAGGGAGGAGGGGATCAGACCCCCAATCCTGTGGTTGTGAGGCCAAGACTAACTACTAAGCAACAGAGCCTTTTGTTATAAAGCAGACTAATGTCAGTAACAGTGTTATAACAGGCAGCCCCGTTCAAATAGACTGCATGGGGGGGGGGGGGGGAGATAAAAAGGGGTGCCGGCTCCCCCTGCCTCAAACAGCAAGACGTCCTATCACTGGTACAAAGTTCCCTCTACCATCTGGAGCCCGAGAATCAGGTAAAACTCCTATTTTTTTTACTGCCATCCACTCGGTCCCACCATGTCCGACACGCTGGAAGTGCGCGCTCCGTGATGGATTACCCGTCGCTTTAGCGGTCTCTACATGTCCGACACGCTGGAAGTGCGCGCTCCGTGATGGATTACCTGTAGTTTTAGCTGAAAGCTCCGCACAGACTGTCCCCACTCTCTGTGACTATAGGCACCTGAATTACAGTTTCTGTCTGTAGTGTAGATGAGATTGTTGGAATGACACCAGAAGCGCAGCCGCTCCATGGTTCGTGCCGTTACACAGAGCTGATACAGACACGGGCCGAATCCTCCAGACCAAGTCTCAGGACAGAACAAATGTCAATATTGGGTTGACTTGATGTTTGGTTTAAAATGAAAAGAAAAGGGCTAACATTCCCAGGAGACTTATGGGAAGTAATTTATCATTTTTGTCAGGCAGGGGATTTGGGAAGGGGGGGGCTCCTTGCCTTCCTGATGGGGCCTCTGGCTCCGCACAGACACAAAGCCAGTGTCTGCTTACTCAACCCCCTCCTCGAGCTGTTTGCTCAGTACCACCCGACCCTCAATGCATCTCAGTGCCCGTCGTCATGGCGACTAAGTAACCTTATTGATGCCTGGGCAGATGTTACGGGAGGGGTGGGAAGCCTGAACGATTCAGGGATCCCAGGGACATGCCAGCAGAGATTATATTTTAATGTGCGGGGGCCCCGGGATTTGGAATCTCGCCCCTGGTTACGTGTGAAGTTCAGCATGCATACAGATGGAACTGGCCTTCACACAGAATGATAGCCTTTACGGGCAAAACATATACTCACGCTAGGCCTGAAAAGCTGAGGAAATTGTAGCTTATGTAGAGGGGGGTGAAAATTTCCTTGCATGTCTGTGAAGGATTTTTTCTAGGCTTGTATTAAATTGGTTTAGCGGAGTACGCCACATGGAACCGTATTGATAAATCATGGAAGCAATATGCACTGAAGCGGCGGTGAAGAGGAACAGCTCAGCAACCACAATATCTTTTAAAAGAGGAGATTTTGTGGATAAACAAGGTAAAAAGACGGCTTGGTGTGCTGGTACCTTTTGCAGTTTAAAGTCCGACACGTTTATTAAACATAAGGATATGCCGTATTTATACCGAATACTAACTTGTGGGCATCACAATACGGCTGTCATTAATTTTTTAGGCGTACTACTAATCTGCTTACCGAATTGTGCATAAGTAAACGTCTGCATTGTACCGGGAAGCCAGCGTCCGGAGAAATGTTTCACCCGTCATCTGAAGTCCTGGTGATTAGTGCACATGCTCCATATAGTTGAGATGCGATATTGTGCAGCCTTAATTTTTTTCCCTCCAAGCTGCACTGCCTCTTGCTTCATTAGTTGACAGTTATGACATCTAACAATAAAGCGATTAACAGTAATTTGTAATCTAACCTGTTGCCCCGGGGTGAATCCTGTCTGTGATGTTTCCAGGTGCATTCTGGGTAATGAAGACGTGTCCCACAATCCCCTGCCTTTTGGCTTTAGCGTCACTGGCGTCCGTGAGTACAGATCCTGTCTGGTCCTCCCTCGCTCGGGCCGAGCGTGTCGTATTGTACTGACCACCATCATAAGTACAGCCCAAAATCTGTGTTTATGGTGCACGATCTATTGTATTGTGATCATTACACAGTAAGCATTTAAGTATTTAAATATAATTCAGCTTTGATTAACAAACACAGGTAAAATGACAGTGGTGATTCTTTCCATAATCTCTGCCTTGCTGTACCGTTGTGACCTTTGACCCCAGGTATGGAGCCAGCCTCCCAACAGGCCTTCCATTTCTCTGAAGTCCCTGCTGATGCTCCAAGACATGGTAATGTTCCTCCTCACATTCGGTGGAATTCAGTAATGTCCTGTTAGCGAAGCTCATTAGCCCAGTGCAGTGGCTCTCACTTCGGACCAAACCAAAGCAGCCAAGTGCCTCATTTGTGGGAAAAAAGCACAATAACCTGAATCTCAGTAACAAAATTACCGTGGTCCAGTGGTGCTCAGAGTGCCCCCTGGTGGTATAATTTGAGAACCACATTTTGAGAAACCTGGTTTAGGATTGCATGGAGACCTCCTAGCTGTACTGTGGGTAAGGAGATCATAACAGCCTGTGCTTCCCTCCCAATATGTCACTCAGGAGCCCCCGGGGATGGATGAAGATATCCTGCCCACGTTTATCGCCTTCGAGGCCAGCAGCCAGGAACAGGAAGGAGAAGATGTTAGCTACGACGCTCCAGAGGTTGCTAACAGAGAGGATGGCACGTACCTGACTGGGGGTCAGGGTGAGGACAGGACCGAACTGGTCCTGCTGAGAAAGGTGGTGCTGACCCGTCTGCTGGGGGAGAAGGAGAGGGAGGGGCCTCTGGGCAGGCCCAGGGGGGTCAAGGAAGACATGGACGTAGCACAAGGGGGCAACAGTGAGTCAGAGGCAGAAATCCCCACAGATCTGGACTATGATGGGGACAGTCAGGACTATATGGAGGGTCTGGGGTCTGAAGAGACCAGCGAAACTGGCGCGATGCCTCTCGCCGAGGGACCCAACTTCCTGTCCTCAGAAGAGGTACAGGATAGAGATCCGGCGGCAAACCGTGAGTTTCCAGAGGGGAACATGGACATCAGCCCTGGGGGAGCCCAGGAAGCCACTGACCGAACATCATGGGAAGGTAACACTAGCCTGGAACTGGGGGGTGCCTGGAGAACTGCAGTCTGGGACAGTGCAGAGATCTCCAAGGACAAAGTGAGGAAACGTAAGGGCGAGCGGCCAATCAGAAAAGGGCTGGACCAGCAGAATGGGGCCCACGTGACCAAGGAGGCCGAGAAAGATCCAGAAACCACGGACGGCATGCCGCATAAGTCTGCAGAGACGTCCGGGAGATGGGTAAACCTTCACACAGTGTCCTGGGCTGCATTTCATTATGCAGTTCACAGCTCTAGCACCATGTGTGTCCTAGGATAGACTGCGGATCTTCATTAGTCTCCGGACACTTCACTGATCTTCAGAGGTGGGTAGCTCAGTTTCAGAGTTAAAGTCGAGACCAAGATTTTGTTTCAACCAACCAGTTGAGTACTCTGTCACTGTAACTCTTTATACTCAACTGGTTGGTTGAAACAAAATTCGTCTGGATTTTCACTCTCTGGACCTGAATTACCCAACTCTTACTGTCTTTACTGGCTTATCCTCACCTATGATTTTAGCAGGTCTCTTGCATATCCTGAACGCTCCTTCTGCACTTGTCTTTGATTGACTAGCGCTCTCATTAGCTTCTGGCTACATTTCTACCGTACTGCGCTGCTCTGGCTGCAATGCTACCAGGCGTTAATTACTGGCCGCTGATTGCTGCACTTACGCCAAACTCGGCTCCTTAACCTGCCATTTGCTTGTGATGTATCCGCCTTACTTGTATGTCGCTTTTGGGAAAAAGCGTCTGTTAGATAAATAAGAGTCACGTTATGTGATGTAGTGTAGCAGGAAGCGGGGAGAGACCAGTAGGTAACCAATCCCCAAAATCCTGCAGGCTTCTCCCAGGGTCAGGAATCCCACACAGGCCCAGAAGGCCCGGCGGCCAGACGCCTCCAGTGGGCCGTCTGGGGATGAGGCACAGAGGCTAGCGGCAGCCGGTGAGTGGCGTTTCGGCGCACGGCCTTCCCGACGGCTCCACCGCAGGAATCTGCTGACCGGGCCTCTTTTCCTGGCTTGCCGGGGGAGTATCGTCAAGCTCCGCGCCGGCCTGCCAAAACAAACGGCCGCAGGCCGACTCCCGCGGGCGTGGAGATTACAGCGCTCGCCTGGGCCGCCACTCACATTGTTTTCAACCTCTGTTTTCTGCAGATCTTACAGCAGGCATAAAAATAAAGCGCACGTTCCAGCAGCCTGTTTTATCCACGGGAAGCTGCATAACATTTACACAACAAGTAAATCAGATTAAAAAACACCACATCCCTGACATTAAACTTCCCTCTGGATCATCAGAGTTTGATCGGAAGCTCGTCCAGAGCTTATAGAGTAAGAATGACTGTCACAGTGCATGCTGGGTATGAGAATGGCAGGCTGTGGATTTTATTTCTACAACGTCCAGTTTAGGGTCTTGCTTATTTGGGGACTTTCGTCTGCTTTTTCAGACCTCTGTGACGCTTTCCCGTGCAAGCGTGGGAAGACGTGCCAGCTCGATCGTGGGGGTCACCCTGGGTGTGTCTGTCAAGACCCCCTGACATGTACTCCGAGCGCCAGCGAGTTTGAGCATGTGAGTACTGGGTTTTCTCCTTTACAAACCGAAGATCAGGTAGTACATTACATGGCAATCTGGATTTGTCAAAAAGGAACTATGAAAGGCTTTGTTCTAGGATTGGCCAGAACATTAGGACACTCAGCAGCTAAGTCCCCTGTCTGTGCAGGTCTGTGGTACAGATAACAAGACCTACGACAGCACCTGCCTGTTCTTCGCGACCAAATGCAACCTCAAGGGCACCAAGCGAGGTCACAGACTCCACCTTGACTACGCCGGACCCTGCAAACGTATGTGTTGCTTCATGGGACTTGGTGGACAGTGAGGCCAGTCAAAAAAATATTTCTCTTATATCAAAAGAACTATGCCAAGGAGAGCTGCCAAGGTTATTACTGCAACTCAGTTTCCAGAAAAGTTGGGACGCTGTGTAAATTTTTTTTACAATGATTTACAATTCATATAAAGCCATATTTAACTGAAAATAGATTGAAACTGAGGAATTTTATTGTTTTATGACACATATATGCTCAATTTGAATTTGATGCCAGCTGTTTCAAAACAGCTGGTACAGGGCCGTGTTTACCACTGTGTTGGGACCGGTTGCTGGGGTTTTGAAAGTGAAATGTTGCTCCATTCTTGCCTGATATAGGAGTTCAACTATTCGACAGTTCGGGGTCTCCTTTGTCGTATTTTTCGTTTCATGAGAAGCCAAATGTTTTCATGGGGTAACAGGTCTGGACTGCAGGCAGGCCAGTCTAACCAAGCTGGATGGTTCTCCTCCTCTTTAGCCTGGAGGATGGGGCGTCCATCATTTGAATTTGAAATTTGCACAACTTTTCAAAACTTTCTCAATTTCATTTCATACATTCATACATTTGATATGTTGCCTTTGTTCAATCTTCAGTGAAATATGGGTTTATATGATTTGCGAATCATTGCATTCTGTTTTTATTTACGTTTTACACAGCGTCCCAGTTTTTTCGGAAACGGGGTTCTGAAGGTTCTGAATGGTCCTGGAGATCAAGCACATTCTTGGTTGAGTGGGAATCAGTTAGGGAGCCGTGGTCTGTTGCCACACCTCCATCAATACTTCAGCACAAACTGTGGACATTACAATAAATGCTGAACATTAAAAAAGCACCTTCATCTGTAAGAAATGTAGATTCGACAGTGAAGAGCTGAGAGTCAGTTTACCAACCACCCCCCAGACATTGCGTCCTGCCATGACGGCGAGCTGGCTCAGGTCCCCCTACGCATGCGTGACTGGCTGAAGAAGATCCTGCTGCAGCTGTACGAGCATGACATGCACATCCCCGGCTTCCTGAGCGCCAAGCAGCAGCTGCGAGTGGGTGACCGGCCTTCTGGGCATCTTGGCTTCACCGTACGGCTTCACGCCCCACAGAGATACAGCCCGATAACTTGCCTAAGTGTCTCTCTCCTACACAGACACTGGGAGGCAGTGCTAGGCCTATTGCAAAGGTTTCATCCAGTGTTTCTCAGTCGGTCCTCAGGGACCCACAGCCAGTCCATGTTTTGGCTCCCTCCCAACGCCCTGCCAGACAGACTTTTTTTTTTTCACTTCATTCCACAAAAATCGGATTAGAAAACATTGGTTTAATGTACAGGGAACCAGCAAACTGCACTGAGGAGGGCTCCAAATATAAGCCGTACTAAATAACACGCCTAGCTGGGCTCAGCGAGCCACAAATCAAACCGACCCACTTACTCCTGCCCAAAATTTGCTCTTGACCAAGCAGCAGAGAAAAGGAGACGCAGGGTTTCAGTAGATCGGCCCCAGGGGGGTATTTCGTAAAGCAGGATTTCTTCATTAGCCAGATAACTTAAGCCAAACGTAAGGATTGTCTAATAAGAATGTCACTTATCTCTCTTCGTATTGGGCAGTTTCCACTGCAGCATGCGCCCCGAGAATCATGGTCATGAAATTTGCTCAAAGATGAAAATGCTCATGGTTCCCTGGTGGCTCGTTGGATCACACTGTTGGCTCATATATGCAGTGTTTTGGGCTTATATCTCCTGGGCTCAGTGTGTGTATTTTCTGTCCATCTATTCCTAGTCTCTTAATTACCCATCATGTATGAGTATGAGACTGAAGGACTTTTTAGTTGCTCAATAAAATGATAATGATAATGGCCTTATTTAGCAGACACTGTTACATAAAATCATCTACATCAGTTTAAAAGCAGCCAATTCAGTTTGAAAAATGATTGGTATAGAGAGATAACCAATTAGACTGTAGAAGAGGTGGGTCCGAGCAACTAAAGGAGGCGGGACATCAAGACATCTGATTGATTGGTCCCACCTCCTCTAGTTACTTGGACCCACCTCTTCTATAATCTGATTGGTTAGTTCTCTGAACAAATCATTTTTTTCTTCTGCCCCCAGAACATTTTTGTGTAAGTAAAACTTTTATGAGCTTTCAGTTTTGCAGGTTGCAGACAGGTTCCCTGCCCAATTCTCCAGCTAACTGACCTAGAATGCCGAGCCACATCCCCCACATAACCCGGGGGCTGAACCAGAACCCCCCCCTCGTCCACTCCCACTGCAGGTACAGAAGATATTTGAGAGCGAAAGGCGCCTCCACACAGGGGAGCACTCCATCAAGATGCTGGCCCGGGACTTTGAGAAGAACTACCGAGGGTACATCTACCTCGTGCACTGGCAATTTGCTCAGATGGACAAGCACCCCACGGACAGGTAGCTACTGGGACAGATGATCGAGCATCAAGTGCCTGCCTGGGCTCCAGACATGATATACCTCACATACAATAACCTAGGTTGGGCTAGGCTAGGCTAGGCTAAGCTAGGCTAGGCTAAGCTAGGCTAGGCTAAGCTAAGCTAGGCTAGGCTAGGCCTACTGCAGCCAGTGGAACTTAGGCACATCCATTCAGCATTCACAGTGAGTGATACAGTACTATAAAACGGTTGTGTCTGACAGGTATGTGCCTAGATAAATCAGTCAGAGGAAATGTGCCGTTGAGATGCTAATACTTTTTTCTTTCTCTTTGTTCATTTGCTCTTAGCAATGCCACGGGTCATTAAAAAACTGATTAAAAAAACATATGTAATTGAGTCTATAGTGTGATTTTGTCACCAAGTGAATTGTTATGGGACTGGCCCACCTGATTTTCTGCTGATCCACCCATGTTTTTATTTCTGGCTTTACTATTGAGCTAAGCTATGCTAAGTCAGAACTTTACTAATCTCTGGCACGGGGGGGTCTTTGGCCAGTAGCATAGTGATGGATAAATAGAACAAAAGGTAATTTAGGTAGAAATATAACAGAAATAGCATAAGTAAAAACTAAGGGCACTGGAAGTCCATCAGCAGACACCCCCAGGCCCTAACCCTGGCTCCCTCTCCTGTGCTGGGCAGGCTCCTCTGCCACACAGAGCTGGCCCAGCTGAGGGCGCTGTTGGTCCCCATGGAGCACTGCACCTCCCGCTTCTTCCGGGAATGTGACAGGGACAAGGATGGCCTCGTGTCCTTCAAGGAGTGGGGCCGCTGCTTGGGGATCAGGGATGGTAAGAGTTGAGGATGGTATGGTCTGGCCTTCGTCTAACTTCCTGCAGTGTATTTTAGAAACACGGTTTACCTGCGTCCCGTGCTGCTTATGAAATAATCATTACGGCTTATTTAAGCCCCTTTTATTGCACTGTGGTCACAGCCTCACTCTGATTTTGCCCTCCTGTCTTTTCTCCATACAGCGGACATGGATACAAACCTGCTGATGTAACCTCAGACTCAGTACCAGACCCTCGGTCTTCATCAGTGTTTCTTCCTGCACGCGATCCGTGATGTTCGAGAAGGAGACCAAGTAGATCAACGGTGTGGTGGGATGGGATAAAAGAGCAGAGTAATTTGTCTTGTTTTCTCTCCTAACAGATGGAGTATGAAAGTATGTTTGAACAAATGTTGTGGGTAAATTCAAAGAATATGGCTTTAGGAGGAATAAAATGATATGGAATAATGTGTTACTTTAATGTTCTAGAAAATCCATGGATTTTGATTGTAAACACATACAGATGTGTGTGTGTCTGTGTTGAGGAATACAGTACCGCAGGATAATTACGAGTCAATATTGAATGGACTGAATTTAATCTGATACCGCAGATGGATCAGAGGTTTTTGAATTAGATGAATGAGTGAGCGAATCCTAACACTTACTGCTGTAGATTAATGCAGATTTATACAGATGTTCTATCATTTTCCTTTTGCTTAATTTGCTTTGTCACCTTAAAATCCATTTCTGATAATGTTGGTGTTACTGCATCTGTTGTAGACTGTAAGTCAATGTTTACATGTAAAAATGTTCCATTACTCCTGTTAAAATCGTGGGTGAAAAACTCTCAGATTCTTACAACTTTTCAGTTACAAGTTGTTCCTTAAATTAACCCTTCTAATAAAGGTTTCTTGTTCAATCCAAGGGCTACGAGAACGATTCCTGGTCTTAGAGGAATGTCTTATGAGGAGAGGTTAGCTGAGCTGAATCTTTTTAGCCTTGAGCAAAGGAGACTAAGGGGGGACATGATCCAGGTCTATAAGATTCTAACAGGTCTGGATGCTGTTCAGCCAAATGGCTACTTCAATATTAGTTTAAATACTCAAACTCGTGGCCATAAGTGGAAATTAGCGGGAGAACATCTTAAAACGAATTTGAGGAAGCACTTATTTACACAGCGTGTAGTTACGGTATGGAATAGTCTTCCTGCTAGTGTAGTGCAAGCTAAAACCCTGGATTACTTTAAATCAGAGCTAGATAAGATTTTAACAACTCTGAGCTATTGGGTAAGTTCTCCCTAAACAAGCTAATGGGCCGAATGGCCTCCTCTCCTTTGTAAATTTCTTATGTTCTTATGTATTGGTGTATGCTGCAGTGTGTGGGGAACTAAACAGAACAGAAGATCTCGGCGCTGGGTATGGGTTCAGGCGCACACAGCTGCTATCAATCAGGATTGATTGATGCACGAACAGCGATAAAATAACAAAAAGAATGAAAAAAATGTTCAAACGAGGGCAGGTAACAGTTACTTTTTGAAAATGTTGAGATGTGGGTGTGTGTGTGTGTGAGTGAGTGCAATGAGAGCTAGAGATGACTAATGTACAAACGCGATTAGAGGTCGATGATGTCACCACTCCAGGTAGATATTTTGAGGGTTTAAGCTGGGGCATGTTGGCCACAGTCACTGGTGAAGTTCTGATCCATCCCACTAATCCCGACACAACCGCCATGTTTGCACGAACATTAGAGTGCAATCAGGAAAACAGGCACAGAAGATGCTGGAGTATCAGGGATTCCCTGCAGCAGTACTCATTAAATGGTCATTATGGGGCCCGGTTGAAGGACCACAATGGGCCAAGCATGATTGGCCAAGCCCATGGTCTGGTCAAAGCGAAGATGGCGATGCCAGGATGACTCAGCAGCCAGAGCAGAGCTCTGATTGGGCCGTGGCTGGTGAAGAATACGAGGAGCGTTTTAAAAGGGCAGCTTGCAGGGAAAATAGCTCAGCTTCTGATGTCATATTACAGGAACAAGGAACTAACCTGAGGTAGACTAACTGCTCATTCGCATCCATCTCCAGGTATTCACTGAGTATCATCAAACTAAAGTACTTTGCTAATATTAAATATTAATTTCTTTCCATGCGTTTGCTCTCTGTTGGTGTGTGAGCTGAACATTAGGTTAAACCTTCTGTCTGTAAATGAGACTATAGGGTATTAATAACCATGCGTAGCTGATGTTATTAAAACAGCTTGTGTCCATCTTCCTCTTCCTCCGTGGAAGGCAAACCATGATCTGCGGCTGGTTCTTCTTCTTGCCGATGGTGGTGCTTCTGGTGAGTTTCACGTCCTGGTGTTAAACCCTTTTGCCTCTGCGTGCCTTGAAGTTCTGCTGTATCCACCTTTCCCTCAGTCCCAGGCCGAATCTGATGAGACATCGAGTGCCGAGGTACGGATCGCACCGCGTCATTTTTTTGTGACTTTTGTAACGTCTGGCGACAGAGAGACAGACACCGTGAGCCCTGTCTTCTTCTGCAGGCGGCCGTTGCAAACGCAGGAGCAGCGAATGGCATTGGCATTCCTAATGGGCTTAATCCCGGTGCTGGGAACGGAATGCTTTTAAATGGACAGGCCCAGCTCGGACAGGCCCCGCTTGGACAGGTCCGACGAAGGCTGCGGATCTAATGTGATCATTCTCAGAGCAGCTCCCACATATCTTGAAGCTGTTGATTGTTTTTGTTCTCTTCTGTTATGCTATAAGTATGTTATTATACTAATCCGGTGCTCTGTGACGTTCCCTTATGGGCGTGTCTGTGCCACAGCTGATCCCCATTGGCCAGCCCATGTTTATCCCACAGTCGGGCCTTCCGATTGGCCAGGCTGGCATGCCCCTGGTGCCCGGCATGGGGCTGCAGCAGGCCCTGGCGTTCCCCATGGCTCAGCCACAGCTGCCCGTCCCTCAAATGCAGCCAGCCAATGGGGTGAGTCCTTTGGGCCAAGGAGGCGGGTCAAAGGTGCGTTACAGTCTGACGCGATTTGGCCACCAGTGCTGCTGCCTTTGTTTACGGGGTTTTTCGGTGCTGGCTGTGTTCCCAGGTGCCCCCCCTGTTTGCTGTTGTTCCCCAGGGGGGGTTGCAGTTTCCTGTGCTGAATCCCGGCCAGATGATACAGGTAAGACAAAGACAGGCTTGTGGATTTGGATCCATTCCCGGCTCAGCATCTGGACTGTTCTCCCCCCGTTTTAATGGGTTTGCAGCAGCCAGCAACCAGCGACTCCAAACTGCCCCTAACCTGCGTGTGTGTGGGGGCTCATACGAGTCCCCTATGATTTTGGGCTGTCCTGAGCATCGTCTAACGCACATCAGGATTGATTTCGAATCATTACCTCCTGAAAAGTGATAGACAGAGTTAATACATGAAAAGATCATATATAATTATCTAAGGAATAATGCTGTAATCAGAAGAATATGGGGGCAGTGATGTTGGATCTCAATATTTCCTGTCAGATTCTCCCATTGGGGGCCGGAAATACCATCATGCAGCCAATGATGGGGGCCCAAGGAGCAGGAAATGCAGCTCGTATGGTCAAGGTGTGCCCCCCCCCCCCACCATTACTCAAGCACACCTCCTTCATTCATACAGCTGGGTGATGCTAACTCTGGGGTTATGGGGTTATGGGGAATGAAGACCAGCTAGGCGGAGATGGGATGTCATCAGGATCCTGTGTTTGTCGCCCAGCCAGCTTGGTTGCCCCCTGATTTCACTGCTGCTCTTTTGTTCTCCTCAGCGCTCAGCTCCCGCAGATTCGGTTCCAACGCCCGGCCCAGTGGAACCAGAGGTGAGCCCCATTATCGGTATTTATTTCCCCATAACCTGAAATTCTTTCATCGGCATGACTACTCTCACAACCATGACTCAAGCCCAAAACCCGCACTTTTGTTCTCAGACGTTCCCAGTTCCCCATGCAAGGCCGTCCCTGGCTGAGGTCTTAAAGGTACCGTGTCTCTCA